TCTTCCTGGGCGACGCCACGGAAGGGGCCAGCAGCTGGCGGGAGGTGGACCTCCTGGACCTCTGCTATGGCTCTCTGCTCAGAGCCGGCTACCTGACCCTGTATGGAGTGGAGGCGTCCCCACGCACCTAGGAGAGCCAGGCCCAGGACAGAGCCCACTCGGCCAACGTCTACCACACCTTCCGCCAGCTGGACCTGATGCTCCCCAAGCTGGCGCGAGGCTCCCTGTCAGTGGGGGATAATGACCGTGTGTGCAGCGTCAAAGCCCACCTGTGGAAGCTGCTGTCCCCCGTCAGGCTGGCCACGCGAGCCCAGCGGAGCAGCTGGCTGGAGAGCTACCTGCGGCACCTGGAGGAGCTGGGGGTTTCGGAGGAGATGCAGGCGCGGGCCCTGGTGCTGCAGCTGTGGGCTACACAGGGAAACATGGGGCCTGCTGCCTTCTGGCTCCTTCTCTTCCTCCTCAAGAATCCCGAGGCCCTGGCTGCTGTCCACGGGGAACTCGAGGGCGTCCTCTGGAGAGCAGAGCAGCCCGGCTCACAGATGACCACCCTCCCGCAGAAGGTCCTAGACAACATGCCCGTGCTCGACAGCGTGCTGGATGAGACCCTCATGCTCACAGCTGCACCCTTCATCACCCGGGAGGTGGTGGTGGACATGGCTATGCCCATGGCCGATGGGCGGGAATTCTCTCTGCGACATGGTGACCGCCTCCTCCTCTTCCCCTTCCTGAGTCCCCAGAGAGACCCTGACATCTACTCGGATCCTGAGACGTTTAAATACGACCTGTTCCTGAACGCCGACGGGTCGGAGAAGAGAGACTTCTACAAGGACGGGAAGCGGCTGAAGCACCCTAGCATGCCCTGGGGGGCGGGCCACAACCAGTGCCTGGGCAGGGGCTACGCCGTCAGCAGCATCAAGCAGTTCCTGGTCCTGGTGCTGACGCACTGCGACCTGGAGCTGATCCGGGCAGACGTGGAGGTCCTCGAGTTTGACCTCAGCAGGTACGGCTTCGGCCTGATGCAGCCAGAACTTGACGTGCCTGTGCGATTCCGCGTCCGGCCCTGACCTGCGCGGCTCTGCCTTGCTGCAGGGCATCGCCCTCTCCTGCTGCTCCAGAGGCTGTGTCCACTGAGGGGACGAGGGCGGGAGCTGCGAAGGACACAGCAGGAAAGACCGCAGAGGCTCGGACCGCTGCAGACCTCAAGCCGCAGCCGGACTCCTCCTCCCCGGCTCACCTTGCTCCTGTCACCTGGTGATGTCCCCTGAAGCTAATCCAGACAGGGCAGGGCCATGAGTCCTGCTGCCAGGCCCCCAGCTCC